CTTCAAAAGGGCTGAGGTATACACCTAATGCACAATCTTTTAATACCTGTCTGCTTCGGTGTCTGTCCTCTGAGTTTGGAGTTGGTTTCAACTACACTACTTTCTTGGGGGTCCAGTTTCACTTTGATTTCAGCTTCATCAGTTTTGTCCACTGATAACTGACAATACATGTAGAACCAGATTATAATGTAATCTTTCGGAAATCTGTTGGACTATAGGGGATGAAAGTATGGGTGGAGGGACCTGGCCAGGTGCTTGTTGTCTTTTGTCTTTGAAGAAGCTGTGACTAAGCATATATTGCTTTTGTTTGGTCTTTTGTTTCTATGCAGGAAGATATTTCTAGGTTACGCAGGAAGCTGGAGACCACTAAGAAGCCTGACATGGTTCCTAACTGTGATGAAATACTGATGGAAGAAATCAAGGATTACAAGGTGAGTAGTTGTCTCTGTAAGATTCCCTCTTTAACTGTACTTTAGTCAAAAGGCTGTGTAGTCATCTTTTCAGTATTGACATCTCGTCTCTGTACTCTGTTGTAGCCTTATCTTGTATTGAGGAAACCACCTTCTTATGGAATGGAAGGACCTTTCATCTTCAATTACCATCTGACATACACGGTGCAATGCAGTGGGCCCTCACTATAATGTTTCTCTCTTGCAGGCCCGCCTGACATGCCCATGCTGTAACATGCGCAAAAAGGATGCTGTGCTCACGAAGTGCTTTCATGTCTTCTGTTTTGAGTGTGTGAAAACACGCTACGACACCCGGCAGCGTAAGTGCCCCAAGTGCAATGCTGCCTTTGGGGCCAATGACTTCCATAGGATCTACATTGGTTGATTCTATCCATAAAGTGATTCCATTTATCTGGAATGATGAAAAGTTACTGCTTATATTGACCACTCAGTCTCCCTCATTTTCTGTGATTGTCACCTTTGGGGCAGTCAGTGCTTCTGTCAGCTGATCTGCAGTCTCTTCTGGAAAGTAGGGTTAGGGTATTGGGAGAAGCATATTCTGGATCTTGGTTCCCTTGTTGCTTTTCTTTTACTCTTGCTCTCATTTTTTGTGGATTCCTTGTACTTCAGAGGACATTTGCCCTACATCGCTTTGACACTGCTGAGTTGGGAACATCTAAGTGAAGTCCTGCCTTGATGGGATGGAAGCTGTGGTGCAGCAGAGATAAATGAGGCCTTTATTTGCGGAGTTTGCTTTGGATGTTCTTTATTAAATCCCATCAAGGTATGGTAATGTTTCTGAGAGTTAACAGTTTCCTAAGTAATGGGCCAAAAAGTGAATGTACAGGTACATCTGTAGACTTCAGCGGAGTGACTCCTTACATATATAACTCCCTCAGTCAGGTTGAACTATTGCTGTTATTGTCCTGTTTCCAGAAAAGAATTTGTAGGGGTTACTTTGTTGCAAATTTGCCACAGAGATTAATCTTACAATGCATAAAATCTAATAAAGGCTGTTTTCTTGGTGTTTTTTTGGGTTTTCTTGCTTCTGGTAGTATCTTGTCTGTGCTTCTGTCCTTTGTCTGGTTACTGGAAACATTTTTCGTAGGCTTTAACCTTCTATAGTAGAGAAATCAATTTATTCCTTCGTTTGCTTTCAAAAAAATGCTTACCTAAAAGAACCTTTGCTTTTTGTCTGTGTCTTCACTACCTGATTCCTGACAAAACAGAAGGACCAAAATGCTGGATTATTTATACAGTCGTTTTGTCAGGGCCACTAGGAGTTTTGTGAAAAGACATAGCATAGGGTATTGTCTCTGTTGCTCCCTGTAGTGCAAGGCTGCATTTGAATTCTTGAACAACAATCACTCTAAAAACGTGAAGTAATTTATTTACAACATTCCTTCATAGAGCAGATTTTTTTCCTGTAAATTTAATTTTCTTGGAAGGTGCAGCTGTTAGGTTTGTCTTATCTGTGTCCCTTCCCTGTATCATAAAATCTGTACTACCTTCCTGTATTCATGTAGGGAATTATAAAAACAATAGTAAAGTGAAATGCAGACTGTCTTATAGGATGCATTAACTTCGTGAAAACATTCAGAAACTATGAATAAAACCTTGTAAATAATTGTGAATCCTGAGAGGGAACACATGACCCTGCATTTACAAAGTGGGGCTGGGATGCTGGAGTTTGAGGTATGGCTTAAGTTCTGCTACAGCATGCGTAGAAGAAGTGAAAGTAGAATCCTCCCAGCTTTCACTGGAAGTCTGTCCATCAATTACAGTTTGCAAAGGCAAGTTGGAGAAAGAATAGTGCACTAGGAGTATTAACGCTGGTGGTAGGGTTTTTTTTTGGTACAAGTGCTTGTTCATCAAAGCCAGGTCCTGGGTCACCATCAGGCATTGTCTGGATCTTCAAACAGCTTTGCTGTAACAGCAGACTTCCTTTTACAGCTGTGAACAGCAATCTGAATTAAACAGCCCTTGCAGTGTTAGGAAGCCCCTTTACTCTTTCTCACATTTAAGTCACGTCACCTTTTTACTGAAAATCAAGGTTGAAACTTTTGTGTGTATGTTGTTAGTGTTGGGTTCACTCTGGTCATGGTAAGAAAAAAACACTTGAAACGGTCTGGATTTGTTTCACAGATGGGGCTTGGAAACTCCTGTTTTTTCTTTCCTCACCAAGACAAATGTATTTTCTTATTTTAAAGTATTTTAAGCTTAGGAAGTCCTTGAAGCTCATTTTGGAAGTGACTAAATATTTCTCTCTGCTTGTCAATTTAAACATTGAGAAGCAGTGAAAATTTTAGCTGGTCTGGTTTGACTGGCCAGAATGAATGGAAATAATTAAAAGTTTATCAAGACTAGAAATATTTTGGGGTAAAAGGGAGACAGTGACAAGTTTATAAAAAAAAAAAAAGTTTTAAATTCAGTGTCTAGGACAAAGTGTAAACAAAGAAAAAGCCTCATCTACAGTCTCCAGTGCATATTCTTGTCATAGCAAATCCTCCCCCAGCTTATCCAGATGCAGGCATTGACATGTGTGTGATACTTCCCATCCCATAGAAAGCTACAGCAGTGGTTTTTTTCTGTCTCCTATGGTATTGGGCTGGAGCAATAGCTGAATAAGAAAATAACATACTGAAACTTGTCTCCTCCCAGAAGGCTTCTACTTGATGCAGCAGTAATTTGAAGCAGTCCCTATTCTGCATTTGACATAGGAGTAGCCCCTAAGGCATCCCCAAAAAATACAGATTTTTGCTTTAATTAACAGGTGGTTGACATTTTTTAACTTTTAATTTTTTTTAAATGAAGATTGATCTGTTTTAAGATAGGGTGTTTGAACTTTTCTGGGTTCATGAATATAGAGATAAGGGCATAACAAACTCTTAATAGACATACTGATTAAACTGCGCTGAAATACCTATTTCTTGGCATTTGTCTAATAATAATGAAAAGAGCTTGTCAGGAGCAAGGAAGGAAAGGACATCCTAGGTCTCCCAAATCTATCTAATATGTGGAGCTCTGGATCCCCCTTGCCTGTTTTATATCCTAATTACTCTCTCCAGTGCTACTGATTGTATTTGAAAGAAGCAAACACACTTGCTGCCCAAAAGCAGAGGGCCAAGAACTGACCAGGGAATAGAATATGAGCACCTTTTGATGAGGCTAATTATTCCAGGTATCATTGCTGTCAGGTTTTAGAGGTTCATGCACAGCTTTCCATTTACAAGTGGTTTTCACGGCTTCAAAAAGGTAGAATGCCTTTTTCAACGCCCCAAATATAGTTTCAGATCAGCCTAAAGCCTTTAAACCGTTCATGGGCAGAACATCAGTGCTGGCAACATTCACACAGGTGGCTGGAGATGGAGGGTAAAAAATTACCTTGGTGATGTATCTGGGGGATGGGAGTTAATTCTGACAGTATTACAAATGTTCTTTTTCTCTGTCATACTGGATGTGTTGGGAAGTGTTGTTCAAAAAATTCATAGAAACCCTGTTTAAATAACACAGTCAGTTGGGTTAATACAGTATTTATTCAGATGCTGAACAGCTTACCCTTCCTTCCCCTCTAATCATCATCCAGGTGGGAGGGAGCTCCACTCAGTACATAGGCTTTGAAACCACAACTCTTCTTCTGTTTTGAAGTGAACCCTGGCACACAGGGAGACTTTGGTATGACTCCCCTTGATTTTGGTGGGAGCTTGGTGTCAAATCATGGACCAGACCCCCTCTATGTCACTTTGGCTGTGAGGAAGAACCTTATTGTCAGCTGAAGACAGAAAATACAAGTCAGTGGTTTCATATTGTTAGATACTTCACTTTGAGTGGTAAATACTGATGTACTATACTCCCACCCTCCCTTTCCATCATCTTTGCTCTGTGCCACTGAGAACCCATCCCCTCACACTGGCTGGTGCAGCTGTTTGCATGGCTTCTCTCTGGGTGGCAGTGGAAGCCGAACCTGCGCTCAGAAACAGGCAGAGGTGGTGGTTTGGTTTTTGTCAAGTTATTTTTAAGCTGGGTGAGTTCCTTTATCACAGTTACAGAGCAGCCACATCTGCATTTGTGCTGACAGAACTGAGGGAATGGTGTGTACTGAGATTGCCACCAAGACCTTGTCTCATGAAACCATAGCATGTGCTAGGAGGGGAGGGATTGCCAACACAGAACTAGCACCTGGTGTAATGAGGCAAACATAAGGAGCCTTAGCATGAACAGAGACTAGACCCATAGATACCACAACAAAAATGTACTAACAAGGGACATGCTTCCAATGAGCAGTTTAAATGTCTTTTTTTTTTTTTTTTTTTTTTTTTTAATTAATGCACAGAAAGGGCTAAAAAAAAATTGAAACCTTGCTGTACTGTCAAATGGAGGAACAAGGAACTCTCACTGTTTGGAGGCTCCTTATTTCTCCAGTTCCTCAGGAATGGCTGATATTTGCCAGGAGAATGATAAAGTTGTTATGGAAGAAGGAGGAGATTGATAAACTTGTTACGGAAGGAGGAGGACTCAGTAAGGTGGCTGTGGGCTGCTGTGATTCTGCTCTCATGAAGAGCATATTGCCTGCTTTATTGTTGCACCTCTTTCTGGCATTATAAAAGTGTGTTACAAATTTTACAGAAGGGGAGAAAGGAAGAAAGGAGAAAGGGCCCAGGTATGCTGGCTTAGGGTTCTGCAGGCCTATTTGTCCTCTGATACTCTTCCAGCTCTGATTTCCTGTCCATAGCGAGTTGCAGCTCCTGCTTGATGATTTCGATCTGCTTCTCCAGCTCCGTAAGCTCTTCCACCACTGACATCCTAGCAATACCGAGGGACTCTGCTTTCCCGTTGGTTGTTAAGGAAGCTGGAGTCTCTCTCTTCACCGGTGGCAGTGGGATGTCTTGGTGCTGTTGGACCATCACCTCATTTTGCCCCTCATCAGTGCATATATATTTTTTCCGGTGGCTGTTGCCCAGATTGGCTGTATTCCACACAGCATGCTGGCTATTCCCTATATGGGACCTCAATAGAGATGTGAGAGTTAATATGAAATCCGAGCCTGCCCTGTTGTGTATGCAGCCCTCCCCTGTGAGCCATCTTATTGGAAAAATACGATGCTACTGTTACGAATTATACATAAATACCAGTAATTCCCTCATCCTTCGGATTATTTTTCTTGAGAAGCACAAATCATGAATGTAAATGGCCAGATTTTTGTGATTAACCATTAGCAGAGACTAGAACAGAATCCTAGACTTCACCATCCTTCCCAAAAACATTTTTATTAGTTATGAAATTGCAATCTTTCCAACTCTAGTGCAGGAAAATGTGTGTGCTCCAAAGCTTTCTGAAAGCTTCTGTGGTTGCAATATCCAAAATTTATTACAGCGTTAGTCCTTTGTGTGTTAGTGCCCTGTGCTAGCTTGGGCATTTGCTCACATGGAGGAGGAAAGTGGCTTCCTAGAGTTAGTGTAGAGATGAAGGGGAAAGTCTACCATTTAGATGAAGTCTTGAGTAGCTGCTTGTGCTTTGCAGGGCAGACATGATGATGTGGTGTAACCAAACCTTGCAGGTACAGGTAATTCCTGAGATAATATTACAGAATTTGGGGTTTGTGTGTTGGGGGTGAAATTCCCATTTGGGACCTTTTTCAAATGCTTCAAATTTTCTTGTGGAAAAGTCTTTCTAAAATATTTTGACTTGAAAGAATCTTTTCCCTCTTTTTTTTGGAACTTTGCTCTGCAGCCTTCCCAAATCATGGCACCTCCCAGAATATGTTTCTGACTAAAGAAGCACCCTTTGGCCTCCCAGCTGGAATGGAAGTTAGCACAGAGTTTGCTGTTGTAGTAGATGAGCTTGGCTTTCCTTCCTGCTTTACCTCTTCAACAGACAGTTTATAAAATGAAAGCATTTTATTCATTTTTATTCATTATTCATTTCTTCATTTTATAAACTGAGGTTGAATGTCACAGGGCCCTAGTTATTTGCCTATGCTTTACTATGGGAGTAATTAATTACCTAAAAACAAGGGCAGTGAACTTACTCCAAAAAACTAACTATAGGATGGGGGTGCTTTTATTAGCTGTATGAAAAATCATGGAAGAATAATATTTCTAGATTTAATACTTTCTGTTGGAAACAACTAATTTCCACTTCCTTCCCTTGTCACTTCTATTTTTTTTTTTTTGTTTCTGTTACTTTTGGGGTGTATTAGATCCATAAGTAGATATCCAGACACAACACGCAAAACTTCCTACCTCTTTTCTACTCTTTTTTTCTTCCGCTGGCGTTTGTCTTCAATAAATGAACTGTTCAGAGCACGATGTAATCTCTAGAGGGAAAAGAAGAAAATAAATTAGTAAAAGCAAGATAAGAATAGCTCTGTAAATAGTTAAACAATTTGGGCTTTATGTGATGGACGCCAACATAAGATATTTTGCACATTCAAGGATACAAGCAATCTCTGTGCTTTGTCATTACCACAAATTTATTTTCCACAAGTTTCCCAAGGAAGGGCAGTCTGAAAGTTTGACAAACAGAGTGCGGAACAGTCTTTGGCGTTAAAATTCCTCAGAAGAATGGCAAACCATTACTTTCTAAAGGATCTCTTTCACTGTGGTGCTTTAAAGCAGTAGGTCTTCTTTTTTGTGCTTTTTGCTTCAAACTAACCTCTTAGAGCAAACACTTAGAGTAGTTTTCTTCCATTGTTTTCCCTACAGCAGTGACGGAGGTTATCCAGCACTTCCTGCATGCATCAAAAGTTTAGGAACCCATAACAGTGATATAAAATGTTCTGGTTAGCCAGTTCAGCACAACACCAGTGCTGCTTCTGATGTCCAAAAGAGTTTTAAGGTTATATATGCAAATGGAAAGGCTTAGCAGTTGTGGATATTTGAACTGTTTCCTCTGTGCTTCTCATTCTGCTGTTAAGTAACTCTCTTCAAATTCCAGAAGCTGCTGTCATATTTGAAATGCTAAACATCTGTGCACTTACAACCTTTTATACCTTGTTCTTGTTCAAGCTTTCTTAATCAGCCACATGGGGTTACTTCTGAATATGTACCTGACTTGTATGGAGCCAGTATTTCATCTTGGATTTCTTCTTGATTCGTGGTAAGACCAGTCTGTACACAATGTGTTCCCCAATGGTAGTGAGAATGGACAAACCAAGGCCAATGCATAGCATTACGAAGAGCCCAGAAAAATGTTTGATCCCCATCTGGAGCGTCTGTGAATGAAATAAGAAAGTAGGCTGTTAAGTGTATTCTACTAGCTTCTGTTTTCTCATTTGGAAGTGTGGTGTGGCCTCTATCACAGTGGTCACATACTGCAGAATAATCTGGATACAGTTCACAGCAAAGCTCCTCAGTGCTGCAGAAAGCTCAGTGTTCAGTCAGAGCAAAGGACCTCATGGGAATGAGAATCAGCCAAAGACCATGGAAATCTTGTGCAGTTTCCCCAATGAGATTAAGTGTCGAACGCATACAAGAATCCAGTATTTTTGGTGTCTTTGCATTTGTAAAAGCAAATACTGCTTGACTTGCTCTACAGTCAATAAACTGTAGAGCAAGTCCTTCATCAGCCATGAGTTAAGACCAACTGTTCATATTTTCTGGGAACTGATCATTCCCCTTTTTGTGCTTTACCCCTGATGGAAGGTCATGAAAAAAAAAAAGTGTTTTGAAGTAGTAGCACAAACACAGCACCTCTCCATTTGCTACATCAACAGGACTGAAACTGTGTGTGTTAGGAGCCCCAGCTGCAATTGTGAAAAACAGGAACACTCCCACATTGTCCTGCTGAATCACCCTTTTCATGTAGAGTAGGAAGCTTTTAATTAAATTGAGTTTCTTATTCACATTAACTAATTGTATTTTAAGACCAAAAAAACACACACAGCAACAATCTCTACAACACCTGCACTCTGATGTGTAGGTCAGGTTTACATGTTACGTATAATCTTAGTATCTTGATCCTCATGCCTCTATAGGTCAATTATAAGTGTATCAATAGCTAAAATCTCAAGCTAAAAATTACTGCCCACAGGCTGCTTGGGAAATATTTCCAAGAATACAAGTTCTACTTGTGCCTTTCCATTAAAGAACGCTGTTCCCCTAGTCAGAAAAAAAAAAGAGGCAGAGAATTGCTTGGGTAGATTTTATGTCAGATGATATCTGGGATGCTATCATCCTGGTTTACTGACCTCTGTGTTCCTTCAATTTGTTGTTAGTTTGGTGGGTGGGTGGTGGCAGGGATTGTGCTTTTTCATGACTGTAACTATAGTTGATTAATGGTGAGTCTGTTGATGTTGAAGGCTTGGGAATTCTTTTTTGTCCTTTTGTTGGATGATTGTGAGCAGTATTTCGCTCATCTGGTTGTCATATTTTATTTCTGTTACTTAAAACACAACAGGAGATAGCATATTGCAGATGTTTAACAAGAGCAAGGGTTCAGCAGTCTAGCAGAGTAAGAACTTTTGTATGTGGCCCTGGCAATGAAGTCTTGTTTTAGGGGTTCTCTGCCAAAATCAACCTGGTTGCCCGGCAGCGCACTAAGCAGAATTTTTGGGAGGAGAATTTTTGTACCAGTGAATAAACACTTCAATGGTGTTGAAAGATACAATGGGGATATAAAAGCAATTTCTAAAGAAATAGTGCAGCCTGGAAAGTAAAGAGAAAACACACTAGAGTGATTCTGGGATGGAAGGCAGTCCGAGTCTTGGCACAAGGGTTTTCTGATTCTAGGAGTCCAGCAGTCCAACTTAAAAGCAGAACTTTCCTCTCAACACTGGAATTTCTTACTGGCAAGAACCTGTTGTCCCATACTTTGTCTTTCCAGTTAGGGGAATAGGAGGGCAACACAAAAATCACAGGAGATAACGCTTCAAACCACTCAAAAAGTGCTTGACTGGAGGTCTGTGTGACCTGGCCTCTTTCTGTCAATTAGCAACAGAAGCCCAAAAATTTAGTCCAGGTAGCATAAAAGCAGACTGAGGCCCCACATGTGAACTTTTTCCAAGGTCTTTAAAGCCAAGACTTCAATATGGCCCATCTCTGAATTCAGCACATGTAAACTTCTGTAAGAAGCAAAAAAACTGCTACCTGTACTAGCTGAACATGCCAGTTAAATGTGCTTTCACTAATTCTCTAAGAAGCATTAATGCAAATCACTTGCCTTCCAAAAAGAATATTCAAAGCCAAGTATGAAACAACTTCCTTAGAGATGTAGAGCTAACAGTAAATACAAAAATAAATTGAATGAGACATAGAATAATAACAATTAAAAAGGAGTAAGTTTGCTTTGTTTATATGATCCAAGCCTACTATTTGGTGTCATAACAGTCTAAGGGTGGGCATTGCCAGTAACTTCCTCAGTGGCAGAAACCTTTGAATCGGCTGGCGAATATCCTTTTGCTTAGCTACTTGAGAAGTAATGTGAAAGTCCCCAGAGGCATGGGAGATTAGTAAGGAGGCCCAATCTGATAGTGTTAGGTACAGAAGGGAGCATTTATATTGCTCTGAAAATAGGAAATAGTTTTAATGGACTATGATAAACTGCTAGCTATTCAAACTAATAAAAATTTAAAAAAGACACGCAGTGGCAATTGCAGTGGGGATTCCTGCAAATGTGAGATGTCTCCTCCAGCCTGAAGTCAGTGTTTGATGCCAGCCCAGTACTGCTGCAGAGAGAATATCTGGCCGACATCCTACATGAAATATAATTCCCTTATCTTGAGTAAAACTGCTCTGATTTGTGCTGATGAGAGTCTGGCTCATTGTCCTCTCAGCTCTGCAGAATAATTTTCTACCTTCCCTAGAAAAAGGTGAAAGAAATTCCAGCACTGGCATCTCAGATGCATTTTTCACTTGTAATGGATAGCTTTTGAAATTGGCCCAAACAAGACATCTTTTCCTAGGAAAGGAAATGCCAAAACAAAGCATCAATAATATTTCATCTGGCAGTAAAGAAGAATGCATTGGAAGAGCTTGAGATAAAGGCTGCACAGTAGATGGACATTTCTGAGACTAAATTCAGTTGGGAAATTAGGTAGGGAAGAAACAGTAACCACAGTGTATTTTACAGTATATGGAATGATTTATCACAAAATTAACACATCTGCATGCCCTTGTAGAAAACCAATTTATCAGCTGTTCATAATTCCTGTAGACACACACATGTTAAATATTCAAGGAAACTATCTAATAGAGGCAACTCTCATTTTTTAGCTTCATGCTGATCAGTATCAGAGCAGCAAGCTCTACAACTTATTTTGTAGTTTGTGTATGTGTTTGTGCATGTGTATATAGAACCAATTTGGAAAGAGCAGCAATAACCTGGATTCTCTGTGTCACTGCTTTCCCTCTGCTGAAGTGGCAATGGTCAGAGGTGTGTGTGTTATGTCTTTGCTGGCAAAAGAAAATCAACTGATGATTATTTTTTCTTAGAAATAAAAGCCCATAATGTCATGTATTTTCCATTAACCTAGGATAAAAACATGGTCTTTGTTCTAACTTTGTAATCATAAATTCAGGAGGTAGCTCCTTGCATTTTAGGAGAAGAATCTCAATTATGCCCATGTAAAGCAATAAACAACCATAGACAATCCTGTGATGATTGCAGCTAATCGGTGCTGAGCAGTACACTGGCAACAGCCTCTAAGTTATTTTCCACTTGCAAATTGGGAAATCGTCAGTTTCTGAAACAAACAATTACAAGAAAAGAAGTGGAGGTATCTGTTTCTTTATATATGCTTGGAGAGACTTTTCCAGTTTATTAGCCCATATCTGCAACTGCTACTCAAACACTTCCTGCTGTCTCTTCTGTAGTGATACGCTTTTTCTTTGAGCCCTCAGTAGAAGGAAGGAAATGCAGAGAAGGGAGTTTGATATTTGTGTTCTCTTTGAAGGGGGGAGCAGAGACAAAAAACAGCACTCAGTGATTTTATTATTTGATTTAATGGAAAAAAACTCCTGCTTTATTCCCTACTACAAGACTGTAAGTAGTTTACTCTCCCTGATTGTACTGAGAGGGTGAATAAGTTACTGAGAGGGTGAAGTGGGAATAAATACCTCTGTGGTCCAGCTTCGACTAAGTAGAAGCCTCTAAAAATTTTTGTGGATATTTTGCAGGTTGTCAGAACAGCAGTGGCATTGGTGTACACATTCCTCAACCCAAAGACTAAATAGCGGTATCATGTGTGTATTAGTTACAGTAATACACTATCCTTTCTGGTAGCATTTTCCCAAGGATTTCAGAAAGCTTTGCTGAGATCAGGAAGTTAAATTTTGCAGAACCTTTGTGAAGAAGGAATTATTCTCAGCTTTATTAGGGATAAATGGATATGAAGGGCAGATATCTAAACTCATCTGGGCATCTCAGTAGGTCTGCAAAATCCTACTGATGTTGATGCTTGTATTTAGGTAACTAAGCACTATTAAAACCTGTCCCTCTCTACAGAATGGGGCATTTCTTGTAGCTGCAGAGATGCTGTTGTTTATTTATCATTGGTTCTATGGATGTCTGTGCTTTCAAGAAGTAGCAGCACTGAAATAGTATGTATTTGATCTCTTTAGGGAGATTATCCTTAGTGAGGACCAGTGACCGTGGCTTTAGAGTTTCAAGTGCCAAATTTTGAAATACTGCAAATCACTGTCTCGCATCAGCCATAATTAGCAAGAATTAGTACAAGGCAGATTTATAAGAAATCTGTCAGAGTACCAGGAAAAAAAAAAGAATATTTCCAAGGCTGTACATTGTCATGTGTCTCTTGTGTGCAGATTTACTTTCTAAATTAAAGTATGAGAATACATCACAGGGTTTGGTGTGGTAAATTGCAAACTGGCTTTGGGGGTTGGACTAGAGGATCCCAAGAGGTGTCTTCCAGCCCTAACAATTCTATGATTCTGTGATCCTATTTTATTCTCAAATTAGCAAGACAAGTTCCTTTCTCCTCTTGTTGTGAGGACTTCTCCACTGATCTGGAAAAATACTCCCTTCTGTAATAAATCTTTTTCTTTCAAGTAATCCATTTTCCGAGCCCTAGTAGTGAGAAGAATCACAGAATCATAGAATCATAGAATAGTTAGGGTTGGAAAGGGCCTTAAGATCATCAAGTTCCAACCCCCCTGCCATGGGCAGGGACACCTCGCTCTAAAACATATTACCCAAGGCCTCATCCAACCTGGCCCTGAACACTGCCAGGGATGAAGCATTCACAACCTCCCTGGA